GGGCGAGCATGTTTGGTGTGACGGGGATTCGAACTCGCGACCCGCAGATTGCGAGTCGAGCGCCCTAACCACCTGGCCATGCTGGGCCGGGCGCATCAGTATCGATCCGATATCTCACTCAGGTCGCAGGCTTAAATGGGGAAAAACCAATACGATTTAATGTGCTATTAATTGATATTATTTGCGTTTACTTCAACAATAATTTTACTCTTATCGGGAAGGTTTGTTTGAAGTTAAGCACAAAGCTACCCAATGAGCTATCTGTGCTCTGCCCACCACGGGTATCGAAACCCTGTTTATAGCGTTGTAAGTCACTGTGCCACTGGGGGGCTATCGGGAAGGATTTAAGTACTTAAGCATAAGCAAATAAATTGAGTAGTCTGTACTTGTTAATGTCTTTACTGGCAAAATCATGGTCGTGGATAAATGAAGTTTTTATGAAACGCACAGTTGTCTTTTTTTTTTCTTCAATTCTATATTTAGTATAAAAATATTAAGGGTTACCTGTGTACAATTAAAAATTGTGCTTTCATTCAAAGGCTAGTTATTCAGAAATAAAAATGAAATGGTACAGTAAAAATTTAAACAAACACACACGATATTAGTGTTTAACCGTTAAAATAACTTTACAAAAAAAAAAAGAGAGAGAGAACAGAAACTGCACTGTTACCACTACACTCTTCAATACTTGAGTGAAAACACCAGGATGAAAGCTAAAGTCAAAACACGAAATTAGCACAACATTAAATGGCGAGTGATAACTTTAATCAGGAGTACTGTTGTAGCTGTACAACATAATGAATAAATTTAAATTTTTCGTTATGGACAAGCACGAATTCCCTGACAGGACCAGATCAGGTTTATAATAACTTGTTTTCTCATTAGGGTTAGCAATCATTCATCCTTCTCTTCTTCCACCATAGCAGCAGGAATGACAGAATTATAATGTTCTCCAAGCTGATAAACATGACGGTGGTAACTGTTGACAGCAAAAAAAATGAAATAAAAAAATCATAAAACAAATAAATTCGTTTTCCATTACAAAAACTTTTAATCTGACATTACATATTTGATCATCATCAAGGCATATACATTAGGCTTAATAAGTTCTGTTTTCAGTGATGCAAGAACTTCGTATTTTCATCTTTAATGTCAGTTACTTGTATTTATAATGTCTTTACATAACTTTAATTACAACATTATTACTAAAATTTGTTTGTTTCTTATTAAGTACAAAGCCTCACAATGGGCTATCTGTGCTGTGCCCACCATGGCTACTGAAACCAGATTTTTTAGCATTATAAGCCCATTAATTTACTGCTGACCCACCGGAAAGCATTACTAAAATAAACATTCATTAATTTTGGAAGCACACAAACAGTAACAATGTTAATTAGTACATCTTTTTGTAATTTTCACTCGTGAATTACACCTTCTTAATGGAAAGACCATAAACTCCACCAGTAAATTCTACATACCTAAGTATTAATGGAGAGCTAATGTATTCTTCTCCTATAATAATACTCGGTCCATCGGCTTGAATCACCTCGATCGGTGTTTGAAAGACATGCGAGATTATCCGAAGCTGAAATTAACAAAAATGCTTCTTTGCATTTCTCATTTTTGTTCCAAACCAAGAAGAATCTCAATGAAGAAGTTGTGATCCGGTTAAGACTAATTTTTTTGTTATTGATCATAAAATGATTAAAGTCCTACTAAATGTGTCCCCATCAACATCATTTTCTCAAGTACTTCAAGAAGTCTTTACATTTCAGCTAATAAAACTACACTCCTCATTGTGAAAATCAAGTTATTTTATTTTTACACATATTTCCTTGAAAAGTTCAGTCGGATTCAGGGGAAAAAAAAAAGAACTTATTTTCCTATATAAGTTTGTTTATTCTTTAATATATTCAGTAGAGGTAAGCCAACGAATGTGGGCTCGAGCCACGCATCTGGCTCTGGCTCAGCTTGCAAGTACTTAATCTGCTTGAGCTAGCTATGAATTGAGCTGAGATATGGTTGCAAAGACTGACGAGTGAGTCAGGCAGTGAGTGTGAGAGCATGAGTATGCTATGTTAAATCAAAGAGGAAAAAAACAGTAAAAGTATCGCTAAGCAGCCTTGTAATTAACTACAAATGAATGAGGACAAAGAAAGATTGTAAGTTTGTTTTGAATACAGTACTTAACATATTTAATTTTAGATTTATAATTTTAGTTAAAATAAAGAAAACCACTCTCTTCAGTTACTGTAGTAGTCGTCATTCCTGTATATGTTGTTGTTATTTTTTTTGGCTCATTTCGTGTTTGGGCTCTTATAACCAAGTCAGTGGCATAGCTCAGCTCAACCTTGAAACCTAGCCTACCTGTAATAATCACCTTGATTACGTGTAAAACAGTGTAAGATTAAATTTTATTCTTTGGGAAATTAATTAGAAAGAAATAATACTTGCTATTTAAGAAAGCTCTAACTTTTATTAATTTATACAATGAAAAACAACAACAACAAAAAACACCATACCACAATAAAAAACAAAATTGCTTCTCAAGCATAAAATATTTTAAAACCACTAGGTGTCCAGGCTTTTTTTTTAAAATTCCAAATTACAAGGTAACTAATTATGAAGGTTAATTAACAAGGACAAGTTTATTGCATAGCTTAACTTTTAGTCATATACTAATAGGTAATTTTTTCTAATGACTGCACTTGTAGGGGTAAAGGAATTTTTATGTGCTGTGATCAAAGGGGTTTTTATGTGCCCTGATCAAATAGATTTTTACGTGCTGTGATCAAAGGGGTTTTACATGCTGTGATCACAGTAGGGTTTATGTGCTGTAAGCAAAGTAGTTTTAACATGCCATGATCAAAGTAGTTTTAACGTGCCATGATCAAAGTAGTTTTTACGTGCCATGATCAAAGTAGTTTTTACGTGCCGTGATCACAGTAGTTTTTACGTGCCGTGATCAAAGTAGTTTTTACGTGCCATGATCAAAGTAGTTTTAACGTGCCATGATCAAAGTAGTTTTAACGTGCCGTGATCAAAGTAGTTTTAACATGCCGTGATCAAAGTAGTTTTTACGTGCCATGATCACAGGAGTTTTTACATGCCGTGATCAAAGTAGTTTTTACATACCATTATCCAAGTAGTTTTTACATGCCGTGATCATGACTCAATTGTAAAATCTCTTCTAGTTCTATTCCTGTTTATAACTTGAGTTCGTGTGATGAGAAAATATGGGAATAAAATGTTTTAAGGACAAAGAAAGACTGTTAAAGGTAGAAAGAGCTAGTTGGTTGTCGTGCACATTGGATGTTTTTTCTTCTTTCTCTAATCAGTGATAAGAACATTAATTGTTTAGTGGAATAATTGAGTCGGGTTGACATTAGTGCCACCCATGATTTTTTAAAGTTGGACTTGTCCCAGTATTTGTTTCTTGTGATTTTCATCATTAATTATTCATTAGATAAAAATAAACTACCGATTAACTTTACTTCAATAAATAAAATACAGAGGGAGCACTGAATAAAGAAAATAACACTAGTGTACATTTATATCTAAACTAAACCTTTTACTTGTTGAGGGATTGCTTCAAATGTTATCTATTTGAAACTTCTCTAGGCCAGACACTTTTTTTCTATGTCTACACCAATGCAGATAACTTCAGGCAAAGTACAGAGTTTACAATGTGGAGGAAATAAAGTATCTCAAAATTATTTTAAAACACCTATATGTGTAAAACTTTACTAACATATTACCCCATATGTTATTGAAGCTAAACATTTTAAATAACGTTAAAAAGGCAAAACAAAAACTGTGAGCAGACTATCATAACAAAAAAAAACAAGTTTGACAAAATTTGCCAGAAATGGTTTCTCTTACAATATACATAACCAAGTTGATCTCAGCTAAAACCGATTGACCAATTAATGCACCACAGATAAAGTACATAAAATGGTATAGGAAAAAAAATAAATTCGTATTTTATGCTACGATATAAAAAAAAGTTTTTGCCAACATACTAAGTATATGTATAATAATAGTTAAATCTAAGTCTTTTCCATCATTATCAATAAACTGGAACTTTTTATTTAACTTTATATTTTAACAAAAGAATCATACAAACATGCAAACGTTAGGTCTGTGCATGAAATGAGTGACAAAAAGCTTTAAAACTTTATTGTTTAGCATTTCACTTTAGCAGCTATTGGGTAAAATTAGTTTTTAAAAATACAAATCTGTAAAAAACTTGTTCTTTGGCTAAAATCTAGAAATATGTACTGCATCAAAAGCAATCATAAAATGTTTCGTTTTTTTTTTAAAGCAATGGTAATAGTTTGGCAAGATAGTTAACTGTGATCAACCAAGAAAACAAATAAATAGTCTTAAACTGCTTTCTACGACTAACAATTAGTCATAGTTAGAGGATGAAAGTAAAATATACAAACGATATTTAACTAATATTGTTTTTTTAAAAAACTAAACAATAAGTAAATATTTGGTATTTTGTGGAAATTGACCTTTAAGTTTCAAAAATAATATAAATTATAGAGGTGGTTTAGTTACACGTTGCTGGCAAAGTATAAATCAAACTCGGATATCCCAATAGACGAATTAGGCTTACCATTTGGAACTCTGACGAGCAAATATTAAAAACATTCACCAAAGACACTTTTAGTATTATGCCCAATGAACTAACAGCAGGAAGATTTAATGAACTAAATGAAGTTCAATAGCCCCCCCCCCCCAAAAAAAAAGAAAAGA